AATGTTCTCACCAAAATGTATTTATTTTTTTGAAAGTTTATTCATCCTGCCCTGGCCGGTTTGGCTCAGCGGTTAGAGCGTCGACCTGCGGTCCGGAGAGACCCGCAGGTCCGGAGAGACCCGGGTTCGGTTCCCGCTAAGGGCACGTACTTCGGTTGCAGTTTGTCCCCGGCCCTGGTTGGTCGTGCGGGTGGCAGCCACTCGATGTGTCCCTTCACGTCGATGTTTCTCTCTCTCTCGCCCTTCCTCTCTCCCTCCCACTCTATCTGTACAAAAAATGGAAAAATATCCTCGGGTGAGGATAAAAAAAAAAAAAAAAAAAAAAAAAAAAAAAGAAAGTTTATTCATCCTTTCACGTTCATTCCTTATTTAACCATGCATATCCTATAAACAACATTTACAGTTTTCTAATTACACAACTTATAGTTACAATTTTATGATTACTGACATATTGGAATTTCTTTTTCTTTATTGTTGAAAGTATTACAGATATCCCCCTATTTTCTCCTATTAATCCCCTCCTCCCTGCTCGAATCCTCTCCTGCTTTCCCCAAACTATTGTCAGTGTCCATTGGTTGTGCACATATGCATATAAGTTATTTGGTTTATCTCTTCCCAACCTTCCCATCTCCCTTCCCTCTGAGGTTTATCAGTCTGTTCTCTACTTCCATGTCTCTGGGTCTATTTTGATTGACCTCTTATTTTGTTCATGATCTTCCATAAATAAGTGAGATCATGTGGTACTTGTCTTTTCTTGACTGGCATATTTCCCTCAACATAATACTCTCCAGGTCCCTCCATATCATCTCAAAGGGTAAGAGATCTTTCTTTCTTTCTTACAGTTCCATAGTATTCCATTGTGTAAATGTACCATAGCTTTTTTTAATCTCATCTACTGATAGACACTTGGGTTGTTTCCAGATCTTAGCTATTGTAAATAGCGCTGCTTGAACATAAGGGTGTGTATATTCTTTCTGATTGGTGTTTCAGGCTTCTTAGAATATATTCCTAGGAGTGGAATCAGTGGGTCAAATGGCAGTTCCATTTTAAATTTTTTGAGGAAATACCATATTGTTTTCCACAGTGGCTGCACCAGTCTGCAATCCCACCAGCACTGTACTAGAGTTCCCCTTTCTCCACATCCTGGCCAGGACTTGTTGTTTGAAGATTTGTTCATGGCAGCCATTCTGGCAAGTATGAGGTGATATCTCACAGTTGTTTTAATTTTCATCTCTCTGATTAGTGACATTGAGCATTTTTTCATGTCTCTTGGCCATTTATATGTCCTGTTTGGAGAAGTGTCTATTCAGGTTCTCTGCTCATTTTTAAATTTGGTTGTCTTCTTTTTGTTGAATTGTATGATTACTCTATATATTTTGAATATCAACCACTTATCTGATGTATCATTGGCAAAAGTGTTCTGTGACATGTTATTTTGTTCTGAACCATGAAATAAGAGGTGAGATTTTTCAACTTGATGTATAAAATATGTCAGCAAAACTGGGATGAACAAGATCTGGCTCTTGTCTCCTGGAGACAGGAATTGCAGCAAGCCACAAAGCTTTATTCAAGTCAAAGAACATTCGAGGGACTCTCCAGTTATTAACGCAAGTGAAGTTCTCGTGGCCCAAATGAGTCTGTCTGATTTTTGCCCCTTTCACACCTTGTCCTCATCTCCCTGCACCATTTGTCCCTTAGCTTGTGGGCTCCCTAGAATTTTATGGGTCTGCTTAACTGGTGGGCTTCTTACAATTTTGTGTGCTTGCAGATATCTTGTGAGATTCTGTCCTTTTGATGCTGGGAATCATCTTTACTGCATTTCTTTCTCTCTGTTTTTGTAATCTATGATGGTTGTTTTCGTTTTCTATTCTCTTTTTCCCTTGTTTACTTAAGCACGTTTTTTGTATGTTTGCTTGTTTTTGTTTTTTGATTGGTGTGTCCTTTCTCTGCCCTGTCATATCTATCTAACTACTCTAACACTTATAACAAAAAAGCAATAAATGTGTGGTACATGTTATTACAAAACACAGATTCTGAACTTAAAATAAACCTATTACAAGAACATTTATGAAATAAAGGAGTATATTTATTGAATGTCAAATTCACTTTACTGGGCCCCTGGGCCTTCCAATGTTGTCCTCACCAATCCTAAGGCATCACCTCCCAGCACCTCCAGTTGCACAGGAAGTGGAGTGGGTGGAGGGAGTATGTGGAGTGGTTCATTCTTCTTCTCCAAAGGGTCTTGAATGATGCTAGGTCACAGCTGCTTGTCTCTCCCCCTGCAGCCTCCATTCTACCCCCTGCAGCTAGACCATCCTCAGGGTATGGAAAAGGATATACTTGGGCCTTCAGCACAGGAAACTGGTTTCAAAATAGCCACCTGCTCCTGTTTCAAATGGGACAAGGGGCAGTGTGCCAAACTCTACCAGAGGCAGTTGTGTAGAAGAGAGAGCAGCCTGCTCTTGGTGGGGGAGAGCTGGGTAGACACTGGGAACAGGCTGGCCATTTCCCTCAGGCTCAGTGAGCTAGTGGTTGAAGTAGTGAGTTTCAACCAGCTAAAGCTAGAGGGGAGTACTGGAGTCCAGTACTGTCTGCTTCAACCATGGGTCACCCATCCTGCCAAGCTGGTTCTCGGTAGGGGATGTGTAGGAGGCTGAAGATATCCTTTCCAGTGGAGGTGGGGAGCACTCGGCTGGACCCCCACCTTCAGACCTCCAGTGTCCCACACAACAGCTGTGCTGAAAGCGTGCTCCAACATGCACATGTTCTTTTGTCTTGGCTAGAGCTCTCATGGATCAGTTGGAGCGACAGAGGTGGTGTAGTGGAGCAGGTGACAAGCATACTTCACTGTAAGGCACAACGACCACGTGCCATCACCCTGGTTCTGAGAGCTCTATAGGATCCTACTATTCTGGTTGGGTCCTGCTGATGTCATCTGCATTAAGGTTTGTCACTGCCATTTGTATGAGAACCTGATACTCCTTCCTTTACTGACCTGAGAACTCTGCCCTTAGACCAAGGCTCTTGTGCCTCTAACAAGCCAGAATAAGGGAGGGTATGTTCAGCCTGACAGTTGCTTTTGAGACCCTCTGTATTTGAGAGCAGATAGGTCTGGTGTCTCTCTGACCTCATATATTCTGGGGCATTGGTTTCCCCTGTACCCCTACATGGGGACCTCGTTTGGTTTCTATCTTTTGGATTAAAGGCTTCCTGGTAAATTCCACATCTCTGCAAACTCTTAAACAGTTACCAATCAGCACACCTTGCAGTCAATTGTTCCCTTCCCAAGAGTAAATTGAAACAAAAGGCAGGAAGGGGATGGGATTTCTGAAGGAAAAAAAAAAAAACATATTGAACTATTCTCATGTAGCTTCCTGTTCTGATATGTTTAATGGCCAGGATAATTTTAAACGTCCCTGACCTTTTGAGGTTATCTAGCATTGCAAATGTAGACGATGATATGGTGACTGAACACTGTCTCTTTCATTTACTTATTCATACTTCTCAATTATAATGGTATGCTTATTGTTCTGGCTATGTTTTCCAATCCAGTAGTTTGGGAACTGGGCCATCCCTTTTATCACTTCAGACATATTTTGAAATACTGAGAAGAAAATTGAAATAAGAGGCACAGGTTATGACTCAGAGTGGGAGGAGAAGAACAGTGTGGACTTACTGTAATTTAGACTTGTGCTTTATGAGCCCCATGAATTTTGGCATATTACCACACTCAAACTCGGAGCCTCAGGCTGTCCTACGTACATTGAGTCTGACAAGCCCTGCCTTATACGACTGATGGGATATATGGAATGAATACAAAACATCTGTCACAATGCCTGTATTGTACTGAGACATTAGGGAATGGCATTCATTACTATGATTATCTCTGACCTCAGAAGTTATCATCTATCCAGATGGATTTTTTTAAATCTAAAAAATGTCAGAAAATATAGTTTTCTAGAATAAAAAAAAAAAAAAAAAATTCCCGATGGAACAAAATTCTGTTTAGCAATGAAAAAGAAGCAATATGCTATCTCTACCACTCTTGACTCACCTTTTCACTTGTTCCTTAAAAAGTGGTGAGTATCTCACCCTCAGCTGTAATGATAGCTTCTCCAACAATCTATAATTGCATGAGCAGGGGCAGGGGCAGGGTCTTCTTTGCCTAAACATTCCAAAGAGCGGATGCTCAATTAATGATTGTGTAAAATAAAAGCCATGAACCAAGAGGTCGGATTCATTAAGATTTATATTCTTAAATATTCTTGAAGAATATAAGCAAATCCAGATACATATCTTATTAATTTATAAAACAAAAGATACCTGTACTAAGGCAAACAAGAAGTGATCAGTCTTATATAAGTACTACGTCTTTACCCATTCATACAGAGATGAATAATTCCATGTCTTGACTGTAACAAATAATGTTGAGCACAGGATAGGAAATATAGTTGATAATATTGTAATAACTACATATGGTTCAGATGGGTACTGGTCATATGACGGTTGGCACATTGTTAGTTCTATAAAAGTCTAATCACTATGTTGTACAACTGTAAGAATATAATATTGTATGTCAACTGTAATAAAAAATTAAAACAGAAGTGTCCAATTTTTACTTTATCTATCTATAGACATCTATATATCTTACTATCTACTATTCCCAACTATTTTAGGGTAAAGGTGGCTCACATCTCAAACATTGTCCCATCCCAAAGCCATTTTATCTTGTTCTGGATCACAAATGATCAAAGGATTTCCAATTTCTATTTCCAAAACAAAACTCTTATTCCTCACCCGTTTAAGGGTTATAAAATGTGTGATCCAAGTCATTCACAAACTTATATTCTGGATTTAAATAAACATCCTGTCTAAAAGAACAACATTTGAAGATGCAAAAAAAATAAGCCCCTGCACATATAGGCCAACAAGATATTTTGCATATTAGGAAGTTGCTTAACAAGACTTTCCGAACAAAAACTGAAGATTCTACCTCGACATCACTGATGTTGAGGGTTGCAGCTTGATTTGGCCCTGGAGCGCCTGCTGGCCTTGGAATGAGTGCCAGCCATGGGTGCAGCTTTGGCTCTGGTTCGGGCTCTCTCTTCCTCATCTTTCAAAGCCTCTTCATAATGTGGCACAAAGGCACTCGGGACAGAATCATTGAGCTTGGCCAAAAACTCCAGGATTTTCATCTTGCTGGTCTCAGCATGGGCTCTTGGGCCCCACAGGAACTCATAGCGTGGACGATCAACGCTGGGCACCCGTCGGTACACCAGGTATTTTTCCTGCACCAAATCTTCGGTGATAAGCTTCCTGGGCTCCCCAAATATGACGTGAGTCTGTCCATCATAGACGCCCATGATATTCAGGAATTCCCAGATCGCCTCCTCAGAGGCGCGGTTGCCATTCAAGAAGATGACACCCAGGAGAGGCATCAGAATCGCTTTTGTAGGAAATCTGAAGCCGCTGCTCAGGCTCTCATTGCTGGTATCATCTTGATTGTCGATAAGGGTGTAGAAGTTACTGTTAGGCTTGACTTCTTTCAATTCTAGGCCATAGACCAGATCCATGTGCTCAGAGACTCTCCTGAGGATCTCAGGGAAGTCCTTCCTGAACCATTTGTGCACTATCTTCAGCATGTCTGTCTTTTTAATGGGCTCCTTCTTTTTATATTGATACAGCAGATACTCTACCAACAGAGTTGACTTCTGAGTCAGAAGATCTTGGCCAGAGCCTTCAGTGGAAGTTGAGGCCCTGGAAGATTTTTTACTTTTCTGTAAATGGCCTTTGGCTTTTACAGCAGCTCTTTCGCATGACGTGCCTGCAGCAGCACTGGAGGTGGCTGGGGCACTTGGAGGTGCCTGGACAGTGCCAGCTGCAGTGGAGCTTGAGGGAGCGTCCCCCAAAAGAGAAGAGGAGGAGCAAGCGGCCTCTTCTTTCTCTCCTGAAGTGGCCTGAACACTTGTAACACCTTGGTTCTCAGCTCTATTTTGGCTGCGTTTCTCACGAGCACGAAGCTTACTCTTGTGACCACGAGGCATGATGGTTGTTGTTCAGGCAGTAGACAGGAGCGTGGGCCAATGGACAGATGATTTGGGCACCTGGAGGATAAACAATGAGATTATATGAGCACCTGCAACAAGCAGTTTCCACCTGGGCTTTTTAGGAGGATGCCTCCTCAGGCCTCCTCGAAGGTGCTACTCTAGGAACCCACAAGGCTGTTGTTCTTGGCAGTCTGTCTCTCAAGAATCCCACAGAGGCCTGGCCAGTTTGGCTTAGTGACTGGAGCTTTGGCCCATGGACCAGAGAGTCCCAGTTTCAATTCCAAGGGCACCTACCTCAGTTGCAGTTTGTCCCCAACCCTGCTTGGGGTTGCATGGGTGGTGACCACTCGATGTGTCTCTCTCACATCGATGTTTCTCTGTCTCTCTTTCTCCCTCTCTCCCTCCCACTCTATCATAAGATAAATGCAAAATGTCCTCGGTGAGGATGAAAAAAAAGAGAAAAAAAGAATCCCACCTAGGAACTACAGAACCTTTAGAGTAAGGCTTATCCTCCATCTTAAACACCCTTCCTTGAGTTTACTTAGTTGACAGTAGGTGATGTCAGCGTGGCAAACTTTGTTCTTGCATTGGGGTTCTTTGCAGTTGAAATTCACTATTATTATGTCAATTCTGGGTAGAGCCTGGGAACACTTCTCCTTGCTACTGTGCAGTTGACACCTCAATATCCCCAGGGATCCAGGACAAGTATCTAGAGGGCAACCTGCATCTCCTCCCTATTGGGAGACATCCCATGCTGCGTGCTTAGTTGTGTCCTCTGTGTCCTGATTTCATTTGGACCCCCGGTTTGAATCAAGCTCCTCACTTGACTCCTTGTAAGGTTTGACACCACTCCCCTGTGGCTGACTGCTGGCTGGGCCTTCAGACTAAGGATCACACCTCCCTTACACCTAATATAGAGAAGTGAGGGGGATACTCAACCTTTCAGCCCATTCCTGCTATTCCTTGAGCTGATAGCAAAGAGTTGTAATAGATGCTTTCAGGTCTCCTTTACTCAGGGCTGTTGGCTCCTCCATTGGGCTTCTGGTAGAGAACTCCTCAGAGGAAGAGCCAACCTACCTGAGACCCACTAAGTGGAAATGAAGTTGACCTTATCAAACCAAAAGTGATCTCCCAAGAGTGCGGGCTGTTGCAAGCAGTCTGAGATCTCATGGTTAGGTGGTTCGACACAGGATCCCACTCCAAGGTCTACATTTGAATCATGCTGGAGTTGCCATTACTCCCTCAGTTTCCCGGGACTTTCCCCTCAGATCAAGACCTTCACTTCCCTGATACTACTGCATGAGGTCTGATGGCACTCCTACCTGACATCTATCCTTGACATCTGCCCCTGCTGAGGACAGGGGGGATTCTTCGTGGGCCGCTGGCATGGTGTGGCACATCCCCACATCCTGAACGGTCTGTGCATGAAGCCCGGCAAAAGAGAAGTTCTCCCTCTACTGACCAGGGTTACCCCTTTGACCCGATCTGTCACCCCCATGCTGGCCTGGGAAGAAGTGATTGCAGCTCATCATGGCCATAAGCCCTAGTGCCCAGTGTCTGAAAACAGGGCTGGGAATCTCTGTGGACCCCTAGTTTGTGGGAGAGGTCCCCCATCCTTGTTCAGGGTAACAACCCTGAGTCCTGTTAGGGACTGGGTCCCTGTCTCTGAAGTAGGGTTCCTCCACTAAACCAAGGCCCTGACCTCTCTCCGACCACCGCCTGAGGAAAGAAGGGGCACCTCGGCCTGCCAGTACTTCCCTGGCCTGCCTTTGGCGAGTTGGGGAACGGTCGGGTGGACCCCCAACTCGCTTAGTTACCGCTAGAGGGGGTGTTGGTTTGCTGTTCATCAGTTTCCTTTGCCTGGCCCTCCCCAGAGCTGAGCGCAGGGGTGCTGCTCCATGTGGCCCCTTTCAGGGAACAGAGCAGCTCTCAAGCACTCAGGCCCTCATCGGAAAACCAGGTTCTACCCAGGCGTCCCCACCTGTAGAATCGGGGCTCCTCCCACGGAGCAAGGCCTGCTCACTAACACATTCCAGGCCGCGCTCAGTGTGAGGGCTCTGCTGGGGCGGCTCTGAGCTGGAGGCCTGGGAGGGATGGGGGAGCCCACCTTCGTTATGGGAGGGGTCTGGTTCTTCAGTTCGCACTCAGGCCCTTGACACCACTGTAATCAGCCCTCAGCCAGACATTGGTCGCAGGTGCACCAGAAAAGATCCCTGGCTCAGAAATGGAAGTAGGTGGGTCCTCTCCAGCAGGCTGTCCAGGGTGCCTGAGGACTGAGAGCAGGCGCGGTTTGCAGTCAGTGGAATCCAGGTCCTTACTCAGGGTCCCCACATTTGTGTCCTCAGAGCCAGAACCGCTTCTTGTTCAGACCAGAGAGAGCCTGCCCCAAAGTCCGCAGGCTGCTGAGATGCAGTGAGGCAGTTAGAGGGCGCCCTGCTCCTGATGATCGCCCTGGGCCTCACAGGCCTGGGGGGGGGCGGGGCTCTGAGAGCCTCCCTTCCTGGGAGACATCCTGTCTTGTAGCCCTGAGTGCCCTGGCCTTGACCCTGTCAGGCACAAGACTCCTGTCTTTGCAGACCTGGAGTTCGATTCTGTCTGACAAGGCCCTTCCCTCCCTGAGACCACACGGGTGGAATGTGTGGACTCCTGGTCGCCCGGGTTTCACAGGGACAATGACAGTGCTGGACAATATGTGGCCTCCCCTGCATCCTGGGGGATATCATTATAATGAGAAAAATCTACACGAGGATGCGTTCTTGTTAGTGAGCCGGTCCCTCCCTCTGCACAACGGAGACCACCCACATGAAATGGAGGCCCTCACTTCCCTGAGACTTCGGGCTCAAATCAGCCTGACATTCTCTGCCAGAGACCCTGCAGAGATGACAGCAGAGGGATTATGTGAGGCCTCCTTTTATGCTGTGTGTGCGGCCTTTAGTCCACATCCGGGTCCTCACTTTGACAGATGACCGATCCTTAACTCCACCCTCTGCTTTCCTGACACTGCTCATCCTCCATCAAAACCCCACTCTCTGAGAATTCCAAGTTGGAAGGCTGGGTGATACTCATGTGATCATGGTCCTTCCAGGCCTCCAAAACAGCAAACAGGGTGCATCTGTCTAGGACCTTCCTGTTCTCTCTGAGTCCTTCTACTATTCCCTATTTACCGTCTTCAACATGTCTATCAGAGCCTCAGACTCCTTCCACTGAACAGAGTACTTTCCTTAGGTTTTGGCTTGACCCCTATATTTTGTCATGGTTGTTTCCTTAGCCCTCACTCATGGCAGGTTTCATCTTGGCTCCTGTCTCCTGATTAAAGGCATACTGGGAAATGACACCTTCCTGCAAACACTTGAGCAGTTTCCACATTGCAGATCTTGCAGAACATGGGTTCCTTTTCCATGCGTGATGTAAGATTAGGAAACAGCAGCACAAATCAGAGAGCCCAGAATACAGGCTGTGCTGTCATCAAAAAGAAAGCTGACATAATCTTCCTCTTCACCAACCAGAATTTGGAAAGTTCTAAAGGATTCACTCACTTTGCAGAAGGATAGAGCCAGATGTTTGTGAGCTCTGTTCAGTTTTTGAGAGTATCTGATTTTGCACATGTAAGTGATCATATTGTGCATAAGCCTGAATATTTTCTTTTATTCATCTCATACTTATGTTGGTATTATTATTGCTCCGGTTATGTCATTCAATCAAGCGTTTTAGTCACAGGGTCCTCCTTTTTATCACTTAAGATCCATTTTGGAGAAGTCGACAAAAGGCAATTGAGTGACTCACTGTTAGTAAGAAGGATTGCACCAGTGTGAGCTCTGGACAAATCCAGACCAGGGGTCTGGTCTCAGCCTTGTGTCTTATTAGCTGTGATATTAGCAAACCCTGTGAGCCTCAGGTTCTGCATTTGTTAAGCCATATCTCATAGGGGTAGTGGATTGTGGTTAATGTATATAAAGTGTCTGACACAGTTTCCGGAATGCATTGAGATTTTGCACAATGTCTGTTATGTTTATGATTATGATTATTTCAACCGTGGAATAATCCACTTGTCTTCAAGAAACAAACAATAAAAAAAAAAAACCCTGATATCAGATAGTATGTGTCATTCTAAGACATGGAACTCCCAATCACTCCGCAATGCTATTTACAAAGAAACTGTAAATTTCCACACATTAAATCATTTTTTGAGTGTGTGGATGGTTTCTCAGCTAATACAACTCAAACCTACTACAATTTGGTTCAAATACTAACTGTTTGTTCTGATCTAGCTGCCCTTCCATGCAAAATAAACATCCTGTCATCATTCATTTCACCATCACTAAAATCTACACCTTTCTTAGTGTTTGCTGAATTACAATGAAAAAAAAGATTTTTAATATCATTTTAATAGAATGTCCTGAGTACTTAACCCACAGCAAGGACTGTGAAACCAATGGCTGCTGAGTTTCCATGCTCAAATTACCGATCTTTTTTCTCTGAAATACCCTAAAGGTGATGTGCATACAACACCTAGTCTGTGCACTTTGCTCACCTGCACTAGGCAGGAATACAAGATGCATTCCATTCTCCTGTCCCTGGTGGAGATTCTCTCTGGTTTGCACATAATTCCAAAGTAAGTGATAACAGAAATTTTCCATTCTACACATAAGTCTCTCAACTCTGAGACCCACGGTCTGAACATCTATCTGGCCCTGCCCACCACAATCACATTCTGCTCTAGCCCTCTATGCTGTTAACTTAAAATTGCTTCCCAGCCCAGGACTTTCACTTTCCTGATCTCTAACTGCCTTGCCTGACAGAATCTTCATTAAACTCTCCATCTGGAACGTCCGACCCTGCTTTTGACCCCTTAATTTTACTGGTCCTTTAGAATTTAGAAGTATCTCACCACCTAGTTTAAGAAAAAGCTGCTCCTAAACTCTGAAATTCAATGGGCAGCACAGGCATGGCCTAAATTTCTTCTCATCTCCAGTGCTAGCCAAGATCATTCCAAAGAGCAGATGCTAAATTAATATTTAGACCTGAAAAGAGCTAGTGTATCAGAAGTCAAACTTATTGTGATTTATTTTGTCCTACATTCTTGAACATGCAGAGCCAATCCAATTACATACACGGCAATTTTACAAAGAATCTGAATGGAATAAAACACACTCATAATTGACTACATTTTATATGTTTTCCACATCCCATGATGACCCAGAATTTACTGTGGGATAATTTCCTTTTTCACATAAATCTATATTCCAATGTTGTGCTATCTTGTTCTGAATGACAAGAAACGATCCAATGGTTTTCAATTTGTTCTATAACACCAAAATTCCTCGTTTCAACCTGATAAACAAAAATTGTGTGATCCACCTTGCTCATAAAATAAACTTAGGTTCTGGAGCTAAATAAAACTCTAAGTGAAATGTACAACCTTAAAACTAAAATAAATAAATAAATAAATAAATAAATAAAAAGGGCAATCTCCAATTTACCAATGTTGTACAGGAATACAAACATGTTATGCACTGTGTTCTCAAGTGCCCCACCTTGGCTTCTCACTGGTTAGAAGACTGTCTGCATTTTTTTTTTTTTTTTTTTTTTTATCCTCACCGGAGGATATTTTTCCATTTTTTGTACAGATAGAGTGGAAGGGAGAGAGAGAGAGAAACATCGACGTGAAAGGGACACATCGAGTGGCTGCCACCCGCACAACCCAACCAGGGCCGGGGACAAACTGCAACCGAGGTACGTGCCCTTAGCAGGAACCGAACCTGGGTCTCTCCGGACCGCAGGCCGACGCTCTAACCGCTGAGCCAAACTGGCCAGGGCTTTTAAAAGTTTTTTGTTTTGTTTTGTTTTTAATCCTCACCCGAGGACATTTTTCCATTTTTTGTTCAGATAGAGTGGGAGGGAGAGAGAGAGAGAGAGAAACATTGACGTGAAAGGGACACATCGAGTGGCTGCCACCCACACAACCCAACCAGGGCTGGGGACAAACTGCAACCGAGGTACGTGCCCTTAGCAGGAACCGAACCTGGGTCTCTCCGGACCGCAGGCCGACGCTCTAATTGCTGTGCCAAACCGGCCAGGGATGTCTGCTTTCTTTACCCAGAAAGTGAAGACTCTGCCTCAGACCTCACTAAGGATAGGAGGAGTTTCAGGATATGCCCTGGACTGCAAATTGGCCATGGCAGCAGTAGGGGTGCCGTGCTTCAGTTCTGACTCAGGCTTACTCTTTCTTATCTCCCAAAGTCTCTCCATAAGAAATGTGAAGGCACTGGGCATGATATAATAGAACTTAGCCCCAAACCGCCACATTATATGTCTATATAAGAAAGCGCCCTATGTCAATTTACAAAGATCACACTCATTCTCTCTTATAGCTACATGGTACAGTGTGGATATACCATGTTTTTTTCCATCAATATGTTGGTGAGTATTTATGAGTATAATCCTGTCGTTGCTGGTGTGTCTTGAGGGTAAGGCTTAAAAAGCAGAATTAATAGATCAGAGAAAAATGTATATTTAGTTTTGTTATATATCGATAGATTCTGTACGGTAATATTTTGATAATTTTTGCATCAATGTTCTTAAGTAATTTGGAATTAGATAATATTCTTAAGTAATATAATAATAAATTAAGTAATTTTGAGCCACCTTTGCCTAGTTCAAATAACAATGTTATACTGGTTTCATTAAGAAAGTTTTAGAAGCTTTGTTTCATTTTCTGTGCTCTGTTAACTTATATGACAAAATTTACATGTTTTCAAGATTATCGAAAATAATGTAATCAACACTCCAGGTATTCACTTCCCAACTTCAGCCTTAGCAATACATGGCCAATCTTTTTTCACCTATAGCCACTCAGCCTATAGATTATTTGGGGGCATACATTTATAACAATACTTGTTTTTTTATGTACCTTTAGGGTAAAACTCTTAATTACAAACTTATCTAACATACCCCAGGGACTCTGGTAGGTACAATTCCAAGATGGCCTACCAAATTCCTGACTCTGGGTACACACACATATTCCTTGGGTTAATTAATCAAACACTAATCTAGGTGCTGCTGTGAGGGATTTTGCAAATGTAATTGAGGTCCCAAATCAGTTCTTAAAATAGAGAGATTATCCTGCATTGGCCAAACCTAACCATGTGAATCTTTCAATGAGAAGGGGCTTTTCCTGGCAAGAGAAATTCAGAGTGCAAGGGAGGTTCTCCATTGCTGGCATTGAAGATGGAAGGAGCCGCACATAGCAAGGACCTACAAGTAACCTGAGAATGACTCCTAGCCAAAATCTAGGAAGAAAATGGGCACCTCAGTCCTTCAATTTCACGTAACTGAATTCGACCCCAAACGTGCATGGTTTTGGAAGGATACAATGCTTGAGCTCCACATGATAATAGTGCTACTTTTATTGCAGCTTTGAGAGATTTCTAGCCTTGAGAACCCAGGAACTCTGTGTTCACCCATTTCTCTGACCTGTGACCCTCTGCCTCTGGGCAACCACCAACCTGTTCTCTGTATCTATGACTTAAATTTTGTGTTTCTTTCTTTTAAAAACACCACATATAAGTGATACCATGCAGTATTTGTCTTTCTCTGTCTGTTGAAAACTTTCTGTTGAAAGAACACCCATTGAGAACTACCACTCATTTCATAGCATAATAGTGCCTAGTTTTGCATATGCTGTCACAAATGGCAGGATTTCTTTCTTTTTTTATGGCTGAATGACATATCCTTTTCTGTGTGTTTGGGGGGGTGTTTGTCTTTTTGTTTTGAGTATCACATTTTGTTTATCCATTCATTCATCAGTGCTCACATAGGTTGTTTCCATGTCTATGCTACTGCAAAAGATGTCTCAGTGAACATTGGGGTACAGTTATCCTTTCATGTGGTTTCTTTCTTTTTTTTTTTTTTTTTAGATACCCAGTTTTGGAATTTCTCTATAACATGGTCATTTTATTTTTAATTTTTTTGAGGAATCTTTATATCGTCTTCCATAGTGGCTGCACAATTTTAATTCCCCTAAACTCACCCATTCTTGAATAATCTAAGGACATCCAGGTGCATAACTTCTAATTCAGTGGGAAAAAAGACAGTGGAATATGGCAAACACATAATTGAACAACATTACTTTTTTTCTGGCCAATAGGCATTCCCAACCACAATGTGAAGAATCCACTTCAGACATCACTAAAAGTGAGAGACGTGACTGAATGTGGCCCTGGATTGCCCACTGACCACCAAATGGATCTACATTCTGCTTAGCAATGAAAACTATGAAATATGCTATCTTCCCCTCACTTCAGTCTGCTTTTCACCTGTTCCTTATGTGGTTGAGAGTATCTTACCCTCTTTTATACTGATAGTTTCTTCTACAATCTATGATTGCATGGGTAGGGGCAGGGACTTTTTGACCTAAACATTCCTAGTGCTAGCATGAAGACTTCCAAGGAGCTGATGCTCAATCAATGATTGTGTAAAATGCAAGCCATGAACCAGGAAGTCTGATTTATTAGGATTTTTATTCTCAAACATTCTTGAAAAACATACACAAATGTTGGTATATATCTTATAAAATTACAAAGCAGAAGACTAAATATAGTAAGGCAAATAAGAAGTGACCAGTTCTGTATGCCCAACATCTTTTTATCCATTTGTGTACAGATGAACAGTTCCATGTTTTTGTTGTAACAGGTAATGCTGGGTACAGGATAGGGAATACAGGCAATAAAATTGTAATAATTACTTATGGTTCAAACGGGTATTAGATTTATGGGGGTTAGCAAATAGTAACTTACATAAATGTCTAGATACTATGTTGTACACCTGAACACAATATAACATTGTATGCCAAATATAATGAAAAATTTTCAAAGAGAAGCAGCCTAATTTAACTTTTGTCTATCTATCTATCTATCTATCTATCTATCTATCTATCTATCCATCCATCCATCTATCTATCTACTGCTACCAACAATTTTGGTGTAATTTCTTTCACATGTCTAAAGACATTCTTATACAAAGCCATGTTATCTTGTTCTGGATCAGAAAAGTGATAGAAGGATATCCAATTTCCATTTCAAAAACAAAACTCTTACTCCTAACTTGATAAACGGCAATAAATGTGCAACCCATGTCATTCATAAACACATATTCTGAATCTAAATAAACATTCTGTCAAAAAGAACACCATTTGAAAATGCAGCAAAACACAAATATAAGATAACAATATATTTTGCATATTAAGAAAGTGCTTAACAAGTCTTTCCAGCAAAAAAGAAGACTCTACCACAATGTCACTCAGGGACAGGATAGCAGCTTGATGCGGCCCTGGAGCGTCCAGTGGCCTCGGAAGGAGTGGCAATGCTGAGTGCAGCTAGGGCTCTGGTTTGGGTTCTGTCTTCCTCATCTTTCAAAGCCTCTTCATAATGGGGAGTGTAGGCAGAGGGGACAGTACCATTGAGATCGGCCAAATATTCAAGGACTTTCAACTTGCTGGTCTCAGCTTGGGCTCTTGGACCCCATAGGAACTCATAGCATGGAGGATCACTGCTGGGCACCTGCTGGTATACCAGGTATTTTTCCTGCACCAAATCTTGGGTGATAAGCTTCCTGGGCTCTCCAAATAAGAAGTGACACTTTCCATCACAGATGCCCAATTCATTCAAGAATTTCCAGGTCTCCTCTTCAGAGGCACGGTTGCCATTTAAGAAGATCACACCCAGGACAGGCATCAGAATCCCTTTTTTAGGAAATGTGAAGCCGCTGCTCAGGCTCCCTTCGCTGGTGTTATCTTGATTGCTGACAAGGGTGTAGTAGTTGCTGTTGGGCTTGACTTCCTTCACTTCCAGACCAAAGAACTGCTCCATGCGCTCCGAGGCTCTCCTGAGAAGATCAGGGAAGTCCTTTCGGTACCATTTGTGGATTATCTTCATCATGTCTGCCTTTTTAATGGGCTCCTTCCTTTTATACTGACATAGCAGGTACTGTACCAACATAATCACCTTCCGATTTAAAAGATCTTGGCCAGGGCCCTCAGTGGAAGTTGAGGCCAGAGAGTAATTTTTACTTTTCCAAACCTGGCCTTTGGCTTTTACAACAGATCTTTCACTCGAAGCACCTGCAGTAGCACTAGTGGTGGCTGGGGTGCTCGGAGGCTCCTGGAAAGTGCATGAACTAGTGGCACATGAGGGAACATCCCCCAAAACAGAAGAGGAAGTGCAAGCAGCCACTTCCTCCTCTCCTGTAGTGACCTCAGCACTCTTAACATCTTGGTTCTCAGTTCTGTTTTGACGGCGTTTGTCACGGGCACGGAGCTTACTCTTGTGACCACGAGGCATGATGGCTGTTGTTCAGCACAGTAGACAGGAGGTTGGGCCGATGGACAGGCGGTTTGAGCACCTGGTGGATAAACAATGAGATGATGTGAGCACCCTCAAGCGGTAGTTTCCACCTGGGCTTTATTGAAGGCTGAGGTCTTATGGTAGGTGGTTCCACACAGGATCCCACTCCAAGGTCTAAATTTGAATCATGCTGGGGTTGCCATTACTCCCTCAGTTTCTGGGACTTTTCCCCTCAGACCAAGACCATCACTTCCCTGATACTACTGCGTGAGGTCTGATGGCACTCCTACCTGACATCTATCCTTGACATCTGCCCCTGCTGAGGACAGGGAGGATTCTTTGTGGGCCACTGGCATGGTGTGGCACATCCCCACATCCTGAACGGTCTGTGCATGAAGCCCGGCAAAACAGAAGTTCTCCCTCTACTAACCAGGGTTGCCCCTTTGACCCGATCTGTCACCTACCCCCCCCACCCCACCGCTCTGCCCTGGGAAGAAGTGATTGCAGCTCATCATGGCCATAAGCCCTAGTGTCCAGTGCCTGAAAACAGGGCTGGGAATCTCTGTGGCCTTCCAGTTTGTGGGAGGGGACCCCATCCTTGTTCAGGGTAACAACCCTGAGTCCTGTTAGGGACTGGGTCCCTGTCTCTGAGGTTAGTTTCTCCCACTAAACGAAGGCCTTGGCCTCTCTCCGACCACTGCGTGAGGAAAGAAGGGGCACCTTGGCCTGCCAGCTTTGCCCCGGCCTGCCTTTGGCGAGTTGGGGTATGGTCGGGTGGTCCCCCAACTCGCTTAGTTACCGCTAGAGGGGGTGTCGGTTTGCTGTTCATCAGTTTCCTTTGCCTGGCCCTCCCCAGAGCTGAGCGCAGGGGTGCTGCTCCATGTGGCCCCTTTCAGGGAACAGAGCAGCTCTCAAGCACTCAGGCCCTCATCGGAAAACCAGGTCCTACCCAGGCGTCCCCACCTGTAGAATCGGGGCTCCTCCCACGGAGCAAGGCCTGCTCACTAACACATTCCAGGCCGCGCTCAGTGTGAGGGCTCTGCTGGGGCGGCTCTGAGCTGGAGGCCCGGGAGGGATGGGGGAGCCCACCTTCGTTATGGGAGGGGTCTGGTTCTTCAGTTCGCACTCAGGCCTTCGCCTCCAGTCGAAGCCAGCCCAGCAAATCCGCCCCAAACTGGACAGTGGTCCCACGAGCTCCAGAAAAGGTCCCCGGCTCAGAAGCGGAAGTAGGTGGGTCCTTTCCGGCAGGGCTGTCCAGGGTGCCTGAGGACTGAGAGCAGGCGCGGTTTGCAGTCAGTGGAATCCAGGTCTTAACTCAGGGTCCCCACATTTGTGTCCTCAGAGCCAGAACCGCTTCCTTTGCAGACCCGAGTGGGCCGGGCCACAAACAAAGTCCGCAGGCTGCTGAGATGCAGTGAGGCAGTTAGAGGGCGCCCTGCTCCTGATGATCGCCCTGGGCCTCACAGACCTGGGGGGGGGGGCGGGGCTCTGAGAGCCTCCCTTCCTGGGAGACATCCTGTCTTGTAGCCCTGAGTGTGTTCTGTTTACTATTCCATGTCTTGATATTCCTTATTATTTATGGTTTCATTTTATTAAAGATAAATAGTCAGTAATGGAATTGGTGGATAATGTGGCCATTTTATTTTTAATATTTTGAGGTACCTTTATACTGTCTTCCAAAGTTCTTGCACAAATTTACATATCCCTAATCTCACCCTTTCTTTAGTAATCTTAGGACATCCTGGTACACAACTTTTATAGTTAAAAAAAGAAAGACTGATGGGAGTAAAGTAAACCCATAATTAACCAACTTTTACTGTTTTCTCCCTCACTATGTTTTGATCTCATCTATTTTAGTATGGGCTTTTTTGCACAATACCAAGGTTATCCCTATTCTAATGCCATGTAGTCCTTTTAAGGATCACAAAAATGATTTAAAAATTTTCAAGGTGTATTTCAAAGAAAAAAAAAAAAAAAAACCCACAAAACTCACTGTCCTAAACCTGATACACAATAATAACTATGTGATCCACGTCATTCATGCACATATTCTGAATCTAAATAATCTTTCTTTTCAAAAAACACCACTTGAAAATTACCATATGCTTTGAGTGGTTTGACTCAGCGATTAGAGTCTCCACCCCTGATGTGAAGGGCTATGGGTTTAATTCTCAGTCAAGGGCACGCACCTGGGTTGCAGCTTTGATCCCCGGCTCTGGTCAAGATTGGTCAAGGTTGGTCAAGGTTGTTCTGGAGGCAACCAATCAATGTGTTTCTTTCCTCAATGTTTCTCCCTCTCCCTTCCTCCTTTCTACTCCCTCTAAAAAAATCAATGAAAAAATATCCTCAGGTGAGAATTAAAAAAGAAAATTACCACAAAATATAAGTTTATAATATACTCATCCATGTGAGGAATACTGTTAAATAGGCATTTCCAATTACAATATGAATACTCCACCTTCAATTTAACTTGGTTTGACAGCACTTGCTGGTTGTGTGCCTGAACATTCCACTGGACTTGAAAGGAATGCCAGCCCTGGGTGGAGCTCAGGCTTAAGCTCTCTTTTCTTCATCTTCCATAGCATCTTTATAATGGGGTGAGAAGGCATTTGGAAAGGTATCATTGACCTTGGACCAATACTGCAAAACTTTCATCTTGATTTTTTTTCAGCGTGGGTTCTTATATCCCACAGGAACTCTTAGAGTGGAGGATCACTGTTGGGCACTTGGTGGTACTTAAGCTATTTTTCCTGCACCAAATCTTGGGTGCTAAGCTTTCAAGTATACCCAAAGATAAAGTGCCTCCTCCCATAATAGATGCTTAAAATATTCAGAAATTCCCACATCTTTTTTCAAGTGGCATAGTTACTGTTCAACAATATCACACCCAGAATACTAATCAGCAGCCCATGCTCACAAAGTCCCCAGCCATCTCTCAGACATCCATTGTTAGTGATGTCCAATTTTCTGACAAGGGCATAGGAATAACTATTGGGCTTGAGTCCTCTCAATTCTAAGACAAAGGCCTGCTCCATTCACTCAATGGCTCTCCTTTGGGGTTCAGGGAAGTGCTCCCTGTGCCTTTGGTTCACAGCCTTTGGTATGTAAGTCTTCATAATGGGCTCCTTTTTTTGATATTTCTGCAACAAGAATTGCATCAACATCCCCACCTTCCTGAATAGAAGATCTTTCAGTTAGCTCTCAATGGAGCAACTTGTACTTTCAGAGCACTTACACTTTCTCATCTTGGCCTTTGACATATCATTCAGCCCTTGTTCGTGAAATACTTGCAGAAGTAATGCTGGTGGATGGGAATCTATGAGATTCTGAGGAATGTCAGTAATAGGGGAATCCAAGTGAACATCCCAAAAGCAGGAGATGAAAAAAAGGGGCCTTTTTTTTTTTTTTTTTTTTTTTTTTACTGGTGGCTCCACCTAGCTAAGCTTGCTCCTGCAGAGGGGATGGCTGGCTATACCCAATTTGAGCCTGTGGTGCACTTCTCCTGGGGAAGCTAGAGTTGGAGACTCTGGCAGACACTGAGTGGTTTGGCTTTGGAGTAGGGTCCACTTCCCCCTCATTGAGGGCCTGATTACATGACCCCCATACAGGACACCCTCTAGTCCAGTGGTTCACAACCTGTGGGTCGTGACCACTTTGGGGGTCAAATGACCCTTTCACAGGGATCGCCTAAGATATAACAGTAGCAAAATTACAGTTATGAAGTAGCAACTAAAATAATTTTATGGTTGGGGATCACCACAACATGGGGAACTGTATTAAAGGATCATGGCATTAGGAAGGTTGAGAACCACTGCCTAGTCTAGTCCCATCCTCCTGTCCTTACAGAGTTCACAAACTGTGGAAGGGGCTATGGGATATGCCCAGCTTGGTTCCAATTTACAGTCGTTCTTCAGAAGGCTCTGGAGGAAGTTCAGGCAACCTCAGTGGTAGTGGAGTAGCTGACAGGTAGAGGCAAATCTCAGCAAACATTCATCTTTTTATGGATATTCCCCCAGGTATAAATTGGAAAAGACCAACTCTTTTACATATTGGCCCCTCCCATGCACATCTGGGCCCTTTTGACCCAGACCCAGACACAAACAGTGAACAGCATGGTAGCTCCAGACAGGTAGCCCAAGGCAGTTACACACAGCGTCTGAAATTGACCTGTACCTGAACCCTGCCTAAGTGGACCCAGAACCAACACAACCAGTGGTGGGCTTCAGATCACACTAGAGCTCGACTCAACTTACCACACAAGTGTCACACCCAAAGGGGGTTTCTGGCAGGCACCAGACCCTGCTGGGAACAACTCTGCCCCAGGGGAAGCCCTTGCACTGTGACTCAGACATGGTGATCAAAGTTCATCTTTATAGTCAGCCAGCCAGACAGGTTAATTCCACCCACAAAAGGGACAAAAACATCCAAGACTCAATTACAACAGGAAGGTGCACATAAACCCATAAGAGACATTCTTGAAGCACTGAGATCAGATGACCTGGAAGGTTGTGCCACTGAGCCAAACAAGACACTTTCATCATAAAGACATCATAACAACTTTGGGAGTCATAGCAGATCTACTTAATACACATAGACAAAATGAGGAGACAAAAAATATGCCCCAAATAAAATAACAAGAGGAATCCCCAGAAAAAGAATTAAAATGGAAGCAACCAAGATAACAGTCGCAGAGTTTAAAACAATGGGCATAAGGATGCTCAAGGACTTTAGGTGAAAAATGGATGGTCTCAGTGAGAACTTAAACAAAGGAATAGTAAGCATTTAAAAAATGTAGAATCCACCCTGGCCAGTTTTGCTCAGTGGTTAGAGCATTGGCCTGCAGACTAGAGAGTCCTGCTAAGGGCACGTGCCTTGGTTGCAGTTTGTCCCTGGCCCCAGTTGGGGTCATGTGGGTGGAAACCACTTGATGTGTCTCTCTCACATCGATGTTTCTTTCTCACTCTCTATTTCTCCCTATCTCCCTCCTGCTCTATCTG